TTGAGCAGATATGTTTGACCAGGTGAATAAGCAGGTCGTTGTCAATCTCAGCAATGTTACAACCATACAGAGCATTCAATGTCCGTTGGCAATATCTGTACATGACAACACAGCACGTGACACCAGGGCACACCAGGGCACAGCAGGGCAGAGTAGAGTAGCGGACAGCACATGTCAAAGTCATAATGTTACCACAAAGTCATGATATTCTTACCCTGAAGTCATACGACTCACGTGGAGAACGAAAGATCAAAATTGATTTTAGAAGAAGGAACCAACATGTTGCATGCTTTGGGTGTTTGGTCCAGTCCACATAGCAAAATTAGCAAAATTAGCAAAATTAGCAAAATTGCGGCCAAAAATCAATTCTTCCTGTGCACCTACCTATGCATTGCATTTTCTGTGACAAAAAAATAGTGGAACATGGAAAAAAGGTGAACTGGCAAAAATCCAACACGAACTGTTTGTTTCCCCATAATCCCAACGCCCCTGTACAATGTTTTCCTGGTTAGAACCCTGCATAATGCAATAGAACCCTGCACATTGCATCACCTTTCTCTTATCATCGGCGTTTGTAAGTATTCCTCAAAGTCGTGCCGCTCCTGGACACGCTCCCGTGAAGATTTGCCGCGTTGTTGTCTATGTGCACCTTGTGCTTTTGTGGCGGCTTCTTGCGATGGCCAGTAGCTAGTACAGGTCAGCAAAACACAGGTACACACACACACACACACACCTTTGACCTTTGACCTTTGACGCCCATCGCCGGAGGCGATGATAGCAATGCTACGGCAGTAGCCATAGCAACTTGTGCTGGGATTGCACCATTCAACAGCTTGCAAGGCTGAAGAATTGACCGTCACTATTCAGCCTGGTCTACACCATACAGCTATTTGAAGTGACTTTTTCTGGCCAGTGAATCCCTATCTTTGGTCTTTTTCTTTTTTCTTTTTTTTTTTCTTTTTTTTTTTTTCCCACACACACATCACACCACATACTCCGGCATGCACTGGCTGTTGGTAACCACCCAGGAGAATGAAAGAAAAGTCAGGAAGAGTCTGAGAAAGAGAAGAAAGACGTGTGTGACCATAATCGTCGGGAATCGAACCCGCAACCTATCGATTGGAAATCGCTGCACATACCACTGCACCATATGGGACACACACACACACACACACACACACATGCACACACGTGACACTGCAAAACAGCAGACCTTGAGATACCCCCAATAGCCGAGTTGATCAAGGGAACAAGACGACCCCGCGTACAGCTTGAGCGATCAAACATACGCACTGTCCAAGAGCAGCGCACGGTACCTAGCGCTACATGTACCTCTGCTCCTCAATGTGCACCTTCATAGCACTGGGTCAGGTCTTCAGTCTTCACACGATGTGTACAAAGGAAGGCAGGGGCTACTAGAAATTTGTTGTAGCTTGGAGTTTCAGGGTTGGACAAGCTTAAACTGTAGTCTAGACACGGTCTCTAAGGCAAAGCTCACGCAGAGAGCGAGAGTGTACTGCATAATTACTTCAAGTTCATTCTCACTCTTCACATTTGAAATCTACGTCTAGATCCTCAGCAGTACTACACACTGTATAGTGTATACTGCTGCTCTGAGAAAGGACATTGAAGCAGTTCAGCCTAAAGTACCATGGCTAGAACATACCATGGATATAACATCCCATGGATATAACATACCATAGATGTAACATACCATAGATATAACATACCATGGATATAACATACCATGGATATAACATACCATAGATGTAACATACCATAGATATAACATACCATGGATATAACATACCATGGATACAGTCAGACCTCGCTTATCCGGTCCTCGTTTATCCGGATCCCTCGCCATCCGGAAGAAAATAGTTGGTTACAAATGTACAGCATATGCCATGCTTACATACAGTATGTGTGTTCGATTATCCGGTTCCCTCGCCTATCCGGATATTTTTGTGGAAAACGGATGTGTGCGGTTATGCGAGGTCTGACTGTATAACATACCATAGATGTAATTATACCACGGATATAACATACCATGGATATAACATACCATGGATATAACATACCATGGATATAACATACCATGGATATCCAGTCAGACCTCACTTAACCGCACACATCGCAAAAATTATCCGGATAGGCGAGGGAACAGGATAACCGGGGATAAAAGAGGACCGGATAAGCGAGGTCTGACTGTAACAACATTCTCTCCTCCTCTTCTCCTCCATACACTAGCTCAGCCAATACATGACTACCCGGCTCTTCTCCTCCATACACTAGCTCAGCCAATACAGGACTACCCGGCTCTTCTCCTCCATACACTAGCTCAGCCAATACAGGACTACCCGGCTCTTCTCCTCCATACACTAGCTCAGCCAATACATGACTACCCGGCTCTTCTCCTCCATACACTAGCTCAGCCAATACAGGACTACCCGGCTCTTCTCCTCCATACACTAGCTCAGCCAATACAGGACTACCCGGCTCTTCTCCTCCATACACTAGCTCAGCCAATACAGGACTACCCGGCTCTTCTCCTCCATACACTAGCTCAGCCAATACAGGACTACCCGGCTCTTCTCCTCCATACACTAGCTCAGCCAATACAGGACTACCCGGCTCTTCTCCTCCTTACACTAGCTCAGCCAATACATGACTACCCGGCTCTTCTCCTCCATACACTAGCTCAGCCAATACAGGACTACCCGGCTCTTCTCCTCCATACACTAGCTCAGCCAATACAGGACTACCCGGCTCTTCTCCTCCTTACACTAGCTCAGCCAATACATGACTACCCGGCTCTTCTCCTCCATACACTAGCTCAGCCAATACAGGACTACCCGGCTCTTCTCCTCCATACACTAGCTCAGCCAATACAGGACTACCCGGCCTCGGTAGCCATTACACATACCAATAATTACAAACAATGAAGGTATGAAGCGCATGGAGGAGAAGAGAAGGAGAGAGATTGTTGCATTCTTGAACAGCCGAACGGTACGGTTCACACTTTATGGATATGGTTATACTCATAACATACTATTTTTGAGGATCCTACACTACACTATACCATTCATTTGACTATGGATATAAAGTACCTGGGGAAAATATCTGTCAGTATCTACAGCTTGTAGTCATGTTGCTGGTGTGTGAGGTCGACCAGAGAGCGCGTTTGGTGGAGATGGAATTACTTTATTGATGAACAGGCCGAAAGCTGCTGGTTACCCTTTGAGAACAAGTAGCTGGGCTATTACATAACTACATTTCACAGCTCATGTTAGCCTGAGTTAGACTGAGTTTTCAGCATCCCTAGGAACACCACCACCCTGTAAAGATCCCTAGCAACACCACCACCCTGCAAAGATCCCTAGCAACACCACCACCCTGCAAAGATCCCTAGTGTAGCAAGAAGGACCCATGAGTGTGTGTGATCCCCGGTAGCCTAATCGGTAGGGCACTGTCCCGGAAAGACAGGGGTGCTGGGTTCGAATCCCGCTCGTGGATCCTTCTTTTGCAACACTAGGAACACCACCACCCTGCAAAGATCCCTAGCAACACCACCACCCTGCAAAGATCCCTAGCAACACCACCACCCTGCAAAGATCCCTAGCAACACCACCACCCAGCAAAGATCCCTAGCAACACCACCACCCTGCAAAGATCCCTAGCAACACCACCACCCTGCAAAGATCCCTAGCAACACCACCACCCTGCAAAGATCCCTAGCAACACCACCACCCAGCAAAGATCAAGGCGCAGATACAGCTCCTAAAGCTGCTTTACTACTTGGGCAACAAAGCACAGATTGTTATGTCCCTTGAAGGTACGATTATAAATTATAATGAACTGCTTGGGTATGCATTGATTCTTGAAGGGTGGTGGCGTTCCAACGGATGCGGAAAACTCGGCCTCTAGCCAAGCCTGACGCGAACCATAATTTTTTTGGGGGGTTCATGGAGGGTTTGGGGGGTGCATAGAGGGTTTTGGGGGGTGCATAGAGGGTTTTGGGGGGGGGGGTGCATAGAGGGTTTGAAAGACGGGGACTTACTTGGTCATTTCCACCACATCTTCCAGCATGTACTCCTGCACTGGGAATGCAGTCCCAGGTACATGGACACTGGGACAGTTGTCTGCACACACGTACGCACACGCACACACATACACACGCACACACACACATACACATGCACACACACACATACACATGCACACGCGCACACACATGAATAAAGCAGAAAATACAGAGTAAAATAGCTATGAACAAAATTAAACTCGCGCTCATGTCAAACAACAAAGCAGCACAGGTTTTGTTTCCAGAACGTTTTCTTGTCACATTCATCAATGGAATCTCGTGACTGAAAGAAAATGGACCAACAAAAGGATATAATTATAAGCTTTGGGTTGACTATTCACAAAATACAGAGTGCGTGGACACAAACAGACTGGACTCAAAATACAGAGTGCGTGGACACAAACAGACTGGACTCAAAATACAGAGTGCGTGGACACAAACAGACTGGACTCAAAATACAGAGTGCGTGGACACAAACAGACTGGACTCAAAATACATCACGGAGCGATTCGATTTCTCCTCCAGCAGTCTGAGCAGCTACTCCCAGATCAAGAAAGAAGCACCTGTAACCACCCGGGCATGTGACCCGTTTGAATATTGCCGTTTGGTAAGTCGTTCAACAGCCAAGCAGATAGCTGTCAAGCCCAAGAACAATGTGACACTTTCACCCGCCAGACCATCAGGTGTGAATACAAACTACTACTAGTAAACCCCAAGAATGTGGAACTCCACTATCAGTGCTGCCCTGACAGAATGTCAAGTTGACGCCTCTTTTAATTATTATGCAATGCACATTGTACACGTATGATCACACGTAACCTGGAGCTGTGCTGAACAAATGATTTCCCCATTTGATCCTGAACAAACTAGTGAAAGGAAACACGTGTGATGCATTGACACTCAGTACAAATGTCAGAAAAATCCCTCGGCCTCGGGTGAGCTGCATAACACCATTACACCACTATCATCCTCTACTGATGAGCTCAAAGGAGCGAAACAGGAGGGGAACAGCTGTCTGGAGGCGTAACAAGTATCTGTCAATGGAAGTGTCCTTGCTGTGCTGGTGTGTTTTATGCTTCGTACATTGGTTCGGCAGAGAGCGCATGGTGATTACGGGTTGAGAATGGAGCAAATTAAAATGCAGTCAACTTGAAACATTCTGTTGGGAGAGCACTGTATGCGGGAGTTGCACACGCTTGGCCAGTCTTGGGGGTTATGCACACTCTTGACCAGTCTTGGGGGTTATGCACACTCTTGATCAGTCTTGGGGGTTATGCACACTCTTGACCAGTCTTGGGGGTTATGCACACTCTTGACCAGTCTTGGGGGTTATGCACACTCTTGATCAGTCTTGGGGGTTATGCACACTCTTGACCAGTCCTGGGGGTTATGCACACTCTTGACCAGTCTTGGGGGTTATGCACACTCTTGACCAGTCTTGGGGGTTATGTACACTCTTGACCAGTCTTGGGGGTTATGCACACTCTTGACCAGTCTTGGGGGTTATGCACACTCTTGACCAGTCTTGGGGGTTATGCACACTCTTGGCCAGACTTGGGGGTTATGCATACTCTTGACCAGTCTTGGGGGTTATGCACACTCTTGACCAGTCTTGGGGGTTATGCACACTTGTACTTTTGATGTTACTTACAGAAGTACTGTGAAAACAGTTCTTGATTTAGAGTGGCACTCATCAACACCAGCTTCAGGTCAGGCCTGAGAGAGAGAGAGAGAGAGAGAGAGAGAGAGAGAGAGAGAGAGAGAGAGAGAGAGAGAGAGAGAGAGAGAGAGAGAGAGAGAGAGAGAGAGAGAGAGAGAGAGAGAGAGAGAGAGAGAGAGAGAGAGAGAGAGAGAGAGAGAGAGAGAGAGAGAGAGAGAGAGAGAGAGAGAGAGAGAGAGAGAGAGAGAGAGAGAGAGAGAGAGAGAGAGAGAGAGAGAGAGAGAGAGAGAGAGAGAGAGAGAGAGAGAGAGAGAGAGAGAGAGAGAGATGAAGAGAGAAAGAGAGACACACATACACACATACTCATACCCATCGCTGAAGCGATGATAGTGAACAAGCTATGTCAAAACTGGTACGACCATGGCCGTACCTGTCATACCAGTGGCACCGGCCCTGAAGGCGATCATTGGTCCCTGACAGGACAACTGGAACCCAAGATGGAAGAGCACTTTTCTAGTCAAACTATCCTGATTTCTCACCGGCGTGGTAATAACTGCTTGATGATGATCATGAGAAAGTCTGAGTTGATGTTTCTCTCGTGGATCTCATCCAACACTAGATGGCTGCACCGTTGAAGAGTTCTGTAAAAGCACAGACATGCACACACGGATGTAGGCACGCACACATATACACATACACACATACACACATATACACATACACACACAGAGCCACACCCGGGATACTGTAAAAGCAGACATTTTCGACGGTGTTTTATTTTCGGTAACTTCGGTGCTGAAATTTTTACCGAAAATAAAACGCAACGAAAATTTCGGTATAGTACCAGTACACTTACCTGGAAAGCGGGTTTACCGAAAATTTCCCTCCACCGAACTGCCGATTTTGGAGAATACCGAAATTATTACACCACCGAAAATTTCCGCTTTTACAGAAATTTCTGCTTTTACAGTACGTCATTGGCCCTACTCACAGGTAGGAACTAGTACAAGTTTTGCAACGCAAATTTCTCAGCTGCACAACATCATTCACGGTGCTGCACCCGTTCAAAAGTAACATTTCCATCGTCACACCACACAACAAGGGTACTACTAGCAATATCAAATCCTACACAACAAGGGCACTACTAGCAATACCAAATCCTACACAACAAGGGTACTACTAGCAATACCAAATCCTACACAACAAGGGCACTACTAGCAATATCAAATCCTACACAACAAGGGCACTACTAGCAATATCAAATCCTACACAACAAGGGCACTACTAGCAATATCAAATCCTACACAACAAGGGCACTACTAGCAATAACAAATCCTACACAACAAGGGCACTACTAGCAATATCAAATCCTACACAACAAGGGCACTACTAGCAATACCAAATCCTACACAACAAGGGCACTACTAGCAATAACAAATCCTACACAACAAGGGCACTACTAGCAATATCAAATCCTACAGACCAAGGGTACTACTAGCAATACCAAATCCTACACAACAAGGGTACTACTAGCAATACCAAATCCTACAGCCGTGCATCGTGAAATCAAAAGTTAGCCAGGCACAGCCCATATGAATATAGGGCCATGAAAGGACATAGGGCAATGGCTTCTCTTTACTCAGCCGCTGGATTTTATCAAGAATGGCTGTCCCAAGCTAGCTGGCAAAATGAGGGAAATCACCTCACAATAAACTGATTGAACTCGGACATGTGTTAGAGCTAGGTGTCAGGTCATTGAATGTCTCAGTAGGCAGTTAGTTTTGTGCTCAGTCATCACACTTTTCGAATGCTTATAATCTTCAATATCATGTGACGGTAGTAGACAGTTTCTCATACAGTAAAACCTGACAAGGAGACCACGTGTCCAAGAAGACCACTCGGATAAGGTGACCACCTGTCCAAGAAGACCACTGAAACCAGGCCAAGGGATGCTACTTATATCCAGTAGAATGACCCTGGATAAGGAGACCACCTGGTAACAGAGACCACGTTTTGCAGGTCCCATGAGTGGTCGTCTGAAGACAGGTTATACTGTAACACATACCCAAACTGATGCTTGGGAGAATGAAGTGTCGCCAACCATGCATCGACTAGGCGCCAGGCACGAACTGATGGTGGTGGTGGTGAGAAGGAGAGCTCTGTGCTAGAACTTTGCAGCTTAGAGAGCGTGTGTGGGCAGGCGTGTGTTTACCACCATATTTATCAACCAAACTGATGCTTGTCATACTAAGCAACATGCTACTTACGAGTCTGAAATGAGCCATCTGAGAACAACACCGGTAGTGCAGTATGTGATACTACCTCTCTCCCGCGGCAGTGCACTATACAGACATACAATGTAGTCAAAATGAAAATACCAACAAAACACATTCATCAGTTTGAAGGGAATGAAAACAGGGGAAACGTCTGGGGAAACAATTCACTATCACAGTATCATATTATTACAGGGTGCGACAGAGCGCTCGGCCATTGAATACGTATTAGTGAAACAGCTGTCTGAAGTGTCCTCGAAGTTGTGATGGTTGTGTGCAGGAGGGTCTAGTCGGCTAAGAGCGCAGTGTAACGGTGGAGTTGTGATGGTTGTGTGCAGGAGGGTCTAGTCGGCTAAGAGCGCAGTGTAATGGTGGAGGTGACGGGTCTAGTCGGCTAAGAGCGCAATGTAATGGTGGAGGTGACGGGTCTAGTCGGCTAAGAGCGCAGTGTAATGGTGGAGGTGACGGGTCTAGTTGGCTAAGAGCGCAGTGTAATGGTGGAGGTGACGGGTCTAGTTGGCTAAGAGCGCAGTGTAATGGTGGAGGTGACTCAACATTATCACAGTATCAATATCATTACACCAAGACTCATTCCAGGGACCTTCCCGATGAGCCAGTGATGCTCTAACCACTGAGGTATGGTGTAGTGTCTTCAAAGTAGCTTAGACTCACGGCTGGACATGCCCTGGCTGCATAGACCATTGAGTGGGCGTGCCCTGGCTGCATAGACCCAAGGCTGGACATGCCCTGGCTGCATAGACCATTGAGTGGGCGTGCCCTGGCTGCATAGACCCAAGGCTGGACATGCTCTGGCTGCATAGACCATTGAGTGGGCGTGCCCTGGCTGCATAGACCCAAAGCTGGATATGCCCTGGCTGCATAGACCCAAGGCTGGATATGCTGCATAGACCCAAGGCTGAATATGCCCTGGCTGCATAGACCCAAGGCTGGATATACCCTGGCTCCATAGACCCAAGGCTGGATATGCCCTGGCTGCATAGACCCAAGGCTGGACATGCCATGGTCGCATAGATCCAAGGCTGGATACCAGCATAATCTGGGAATGTGCTACGTAGCTACAGGGAACACATCTATACAATGCTGCAACAAACATGGTGGGTGCATAGCGGTGACAAACCTGTCAAGACGAATCTGATATCCAACACTGGCACCACCGACTGGGTCACAACGCTCCTCGGCAACACGATTAGCAACCTACGCCAAGCATACACGCATGTACACACACGTACACGTACACACACGTACACACATACACAAATGTTGTGCATGCTTCAGCATGCTGACAAGGTCCATCAGCCCTGAGAGCATAATCAAATAGACAATTGAATGGCTACACACAGCATACTAGAGTCAAACCTCGTTAGTACGAACACTGATACGGCGAACTTTCCATTAGTACGAACTATGGCCAATCCTATGGTTGGCCAGGCATCAATTCAAGTCAAAATTATTCGTTTACGACGAACTTCTGTACAGCGAACTTTCGCGAAGACGAACTATTTTCAAGTGTGATTTGAACAAAGTCAGTGTGGTCATGTACATGTAGTACGAACTTTCGGTCCACGAGCGTGCGCGTGCGCTGGCTGCCTTTTTTCTTCTTCTTTTTTTCAATAGTCGAGGTCATATTGTACGTACAGTGCAAATTGTTTTCAAGCGTGTTTTGAACAAATCAATCAGTGCGTTGTACGAACTTTCGACACAGTCGTGATTCATTGCACTGTGTCATTGTACTTACCTGTTTCTGGCTTATGCTAAGAATAACATGCTTCCCATGTACCACAGCATGCACCTTCACGTAAATACAATCCATCTGATATGCATATCGATTTTTTGTCAGATCTGGATAAGAAGAACTCCCGATAAGACAAACAAATTTGTTCAGTCCCTTGAAGTTCGTCCTAACCAGGTTTGACTGTACTAACATTTTAGCTGTGTAAAAAAAGATTTAAGATTCCAATACATGCCCATCATATGATTCCAATACATGCCCATCATATGATTCCAATACATGCCCATCATATGATTCCAATACAGCAAGTTGTAATAGTAATAGTCTTTTCATGTAACCCGACAAGACCACACGATGCTTGCAGACAACAACAGGATGGTGATCAGACAGCTGTTCTACATGGCACACTGCACATTACTCTCAAATACGCCAGCCAGCACTGTTCCCAAATATGGCAGGCAGCACTGTTCCAAGTAATTAGTTACACAGGATCGTACTCACTACCCATATACCTGTAGCGTAAAGTACCGCCAGAGCGCCCCACCATCTCATCCTTTCGTGGTCGTATTGTGGAGGTGGTCTGCTGTCTGTAGGTCATACGACATGAACCTTGTACACATATCGCACGTTTTGCAGTCAATCCGTACCTTCGCGCGGACACAAGCTCCACACAAAACCCTGCCAAGCGTGACCTTAGTACACAAGGTTCTCACATCGTACAAACTTCGTTGCACTCTGCCATACGATTTTCCTTTCTCTGGCTGTAATATCAAGGTGGGGCGCTCTCGCGAGACGGGGCGCTCTCGCGGTACTTTACGGTACTAGTAGATGGTACACACTTCCACACAGCATGTTACATGTACTTACAGAGATTGCACTGATTCTCCTTGGCTGTGTGCAGATGACGTTACATTGAGATCCTTTGCCATTCAGGATAGCATCATCCAGAATATACTGACAAAGCTACAAACACACACGCATACACACACGCACGTACACACACACGCACGTACACACACACACGTACACACACACACACACGTACACACACATATACACACGTACACACCCACACACATGTACACACACACGTACACACACACACACACGTACACACACACACACGTACACACACATTATTATACGAGCCAACCAACAGACAGCACTACGCCGGGGTTCATCCAGGCATTCCTCATTCCCCTGGGCATTTCTCAGTACAACCACTGATCCAAGTTAAAATACAGAGTTACATAGTTAGAACAAGCGAGGTGTTGCCTGTCGCAGGCCACATCAGTATTAGCTGCAAGTGCACAGCAGGTTACAGACTACATGCATGACATAGTGGGTACTGGGGCAACGTAATGAACTAGACAGAGCAACTCCATAGTGTTATCATCAACTGATAGGGCAGCTGGCTGGCTCGCTGAGTCGGCAAGGGCAATGTAAACATGTAGACTATTTCACAAATCATTCATTCATTGTACATGTACAACAACAACGGAGAGAGAGAGAGAGAGAGAGAGAGAGAGAGAGAGAGAGAGAGAGAGAGAGAGAGAGAGAGAGAGAGAGAGAGACCGCTTTGATAAGACACAGTACTGTACCTGAGTGGTCTTTCCACAGCCAGTGTCACCGCTAACAACACTGATCTGATTGTTACGAATGGTCTCCAGCAGTTTCTACAATAACGACAACAACGACGACAACAACAACAACAACAACAACAACAACAACAACAACAACAACAACAACAACAACAACAACAACAACAACAACAACAACAACAACAACAACAACAACAACAACAACAACAACAACAACAGCAACAACAACAACAGCAACAACAGCAACAACAACACACATGATGCATAGTGACAAGAACGTATCAGAGAGCCGAGAGACAGAGAGAGAGCATGAAGAGAATAATAGCAAAGATCTCAAGCACTGGAGATATTGCAGCAGCAATGCACCAGCAAGTCAATGCCCAGCTGCTGCTGCTGCTGCTGCTTGTCAAACTCTCTCCTCGATGTTTTCTTGATAGTCATAAACAATAGTAGCTATTTTAACTAGGGTTATCTAATACCAAGTACAGTATTGTAATCGATTGGCTGGTCCAGTGTGCCAGTTTTGCACTTTGGGTCGGATTCCAGTGAGCGCAACTGTACTACACGGAGAAAAGGCACCGGTACGAGTGGCCATCTCCAGTAAAGACGTGACAATGAATCTACATGTAGGACTTACCTCTCGAGCAGCGTGGGTTGGCAGCTTATGACGAGTAGCCTATCAGAAGGGACGGACACACACACACACACACACGAGCATACACACACACGCGCACACAAACACGCATGCATGTGTGCGGCTATAAAACGGTGTATGCGGGAAGAAACCCAACATCTACCAGTAAACACAAACATACGTGTATGTTACATTAAATTCGAAATACATGCTACAATGTGGCATTCTTGTACTATTTGCAGGAGCATTGCAATGCAATATCCAGTACCATACACTATGCTGGCTAATGCCATCATCCCATGATCTGTCAGCAAATGCTCCATTACGACCCACTCGCATGTTATCATGTGTTCCCTATCGCATCCAGGCAGTTGTTGAGTACAGGGTTAGGCTCATATCTGGTACAATCTAGACCAAGCCACGTACCATCAGCTGACAAAGGCTGTCGGAACATGACCGAGACAACACGTGTGTGAAAGTGCCAATGACAATTACTAGTACATTGTACGTACCCGCAAGTTCAAATAGGCCCGTGTAGTCTGTTTGGCCAGCAGTTCCTGCTTCAGTGTCTCGTCAAGGGCTTCGTTACCAATGCGAATATCCATCGAGCGGCCCCATTGGCCGTAACCACTTCGTGGAGACTGTCGCCCATCGCTCGCAGCCCCTACCAACAACACACATACACATATAAACACAGTCGGTTTACCTGACAACTGGCTTGGATGTTAGCACTTTAAGGAGACTGTTTGAGAAGTAATACTCATGTCGACAGTCACACGGTGTCAACTATCAATGAACAAGGGACAGTGTACAGACACACGGTGTCAACTATCAATGAACAAGGGACAATGTACAGACACACGGTGTCAACTATCAATGAACAAGGGACAGTGTACAGACACACGGTGTCAACTATCAATGAACAAGGGACGGTGTACAGACACACGGTGTCAACTATCAATGAACAAGGGACAATGTACAGACACACGGTGTCAACTATCAATGAACAAGGGACAGTGTACAGACACACGGTGTCAACTATCAATGAACAAGGGACGGTGTACAGACACACGGTGTCAACTATCAATGAACAAGGGACAGTGTACAGACACACGGTGTCAACTATCAATGAACAAGGGACAATGTACAGACACACAGTGTCAACTATCAATGAACAAGGGACAGTGTACAGACACACGGTGTCAACTATCAATGAACAAGGGACAGTGTACAGACACATGTGTCATGTAGAAATAGCATACATATGCACAGAACACAGTCACTACATGTGCCAATACAACACTACATGTGCCAATACAACACTAAGTGTGCACACACACACACACACACACACACACACACACACACACACACACACACACGCACGCACGCACGCACGCACGCACGCACGCACGCACACACACACACACACACACACATACACACACACACACACACACACACACACACACACGTATGCCAAGCCGTGGTGTGTGACCAGCTACCAAATGATTTCCCTCAAAATGTTCAGAGTAGGAACGCAAGAGGAGGCTAACAAGAGACAGCTAGGTGCCAAAGGAGTGGGAGGGGGAGCGGTCTCCAAACAAACAAAAAACTAGACGAAGCTCACACGTTCAGCACTTCTGTGAAAGACAGGAGTTCTGCGCAATAGGGGAAGTCCCCCCTACTGGTCGATCGATGCAACAGACCAAGATAGACATTATCCACCTACCTGTGGTGTTACCATCCTTAGCCGACTCATCACCGCACATAGCTTGGATTTCTTTATCATAATCTGGCTCCTCGATTTCAATCTTGAAACTCTCCTCCTTCATGCTCTCCCCAAGGTCATCTACGATCTCCTCAGATCCAAAGTCGGTAAGATCTATGACTTCGACTTCGGGTACTACGACAGCCTCCTCCTCCTCGTCATCGTCATCGTTCAGCAAGGTTTCTTGCCACGGTATGACAGGTCCCGTTGCTACACTCGCAGTCGTGTGATCACTATCGGCGACTACTTTCGGAGAGTAGCGGGTCGCTTCTTCGTCGTCGCTGCTGCTGTCCCAGAGATTAATGGCTGGCGGTGGTGATGACTGTGTCCGAGTAGGACTGGAGCTGCGCCTTCTTGGCGTCGACATGGCCTCTCCCTTGAGAGTCACGGAGGAAGAGCGGAGAACCTCGTTGACCGTCTTGTGGTCCAGCGCCATAGGCTGATCGACATGCTGTCACGGAAATAGCAAAGAGATGAAGAATGACATGCATGTACGCACGCAAACGCACGCAAACGCACACATACACACACACACACATACACACACACGCACGCACACACACACACACACACACACACACACACACACACACACACACACACACACACACCAACACACAAGTCTCAACAAATGGTGCACAGGCAACAGCGGCAAATTCCCAGTAGCGTCACTAGGCCGCAACCCCTGTAAGAAGGCGATCCTATGGTAGTCCACCTTTCCACCTGTCTGTATGTCTGTCTGTCTGTAGGATTCCAACAAGACCCAGCTAAGCTGCACAGGATAAACTCCCAGCATTGCTATATCGTCTTACATCTCAACACATCAGGAAACTTCAAACTTTCACGTTAATCAACTCAACATTGTACTCGTTGCTACGATGAGGTTCAGTTTTGTCAAATATCGTGCTGCACATCAACCTTCTGCTGAATCGTGTCGGAGCAACCGGGAAAATGCGCTCTTCCCCGTGGCGGCAGCAGGACAAACACTACACCATGTATACACTCAGTAAAAAGGAATGTTGGAGTCACCGGTTCAAAATATCCCGTTGCACAACGACGTTCTGTTGGGCCACACCTGATCATCGGGGGGAAATCCCCCTACCAATTCAATACGGCAGCAGTGGAAATAACGCTATGTTGTACAGTGTACACATGTTCATTAAGGAAACGCTGGAGTCGAGGGTTCAATCCAACCAACACTTCATTCGATATCGTTTCTGGGGCCCATGTAGGCAATGGCCACAGAACTAGGAAGAGAAAACCACTTTTTGGTAACATTTTTTTGTAAAAGAAATGTTCCCCTCAATTCTAGGGGCATGTTTGATTGGTAGGCCCGGATTGGGATCCAAATCCAGATCTCAGATCCGTCGGATCCTTCAGAGTCAACCAAACACTTTATTTTGGACCTTGGCTGTTGCCATGTTGAAGAAGTAATAAAATGGCGCTCACAGGTCAAAAGGGTCAAAGTTGTACTCATCGCGCGCGCGCGCGCGTCGTACGAAAAGTCAACAAGAGTACCGTAAAAGTCCGTAAAATAAGTACGTATTTACTTTCGAATTTAGTGACCACACCCGTACTAACTTTCGGGCGGGTACTGACTTTCAAGCACGAACTAACTTTCGGACCTGACTTGTGTGTAGTGGAGAAGTCATTTTCATGTCGATGTACATGCTACGTGCTGGATGTGCGCACCGTACCGGTATTTATTTCGAGCAGTATGTTTATCAGGCTTGAATTGACTTCAACAGACAGAGCCTAAGGGCCGGGTTCCACTGCGGCTCCGCTGCTCGTCTTTCGCGGCTTGAAACGTCATCATTACCATAGTGACCGCGGCTCGAGCTGGAGCAGCGAGTCCGCGGCTCACCGCGAGCTTTTGCTACGATTCTTTGACCAAAAACTGCGAGCCGCGGTTGCGGCTCGACCTGTTTCCCGTACTTTGCATTGTTTTGTACGCCAGAATTTTAAAATTCAAATTTTAATTCGTTGCGCAGGCCAGAACACGAGGATTTGTTTGATTTCGCGCGCGCGCAGGCAGGTGAAACGTCATCAAAAAGTGTGGACCACGACCGCGGTACCGCGAATGGCGAGTGACAGTGGAACCGCGCTGCTCCGCTGCATGCAGTCAAGTGCCGCGGAGCAGCGGAGCCGCGGAGCCGCAGTGGAACCCGGCCCTAAAGAATGAAGGGGTATTTCTTTCGGGCAGGTACTTATTTACGGACTTTTACGGTATCTCGATCCACGTGTGTGCGTACCACAATGTGTACAAACATGATTTTACCCGCCGCATACGCACAAAGGTCACATTTGGATCTGTTGGATCCAGCCAACCCTGCTCCCAGAGGTGGGTTGACCGGATTCAAATCCAAAGGGTCCGGATCCGGATTCAACCAATCGAAAGGGTGCGAATCCAGTGGATCCGGTTGATCTGGATCCCGATCCTACCAATCGAACATGCCCTTATTGACCAATAGAGCAAAGTTAGAACTAGTTCAACGTTCAACTGTTTACAAACACAGGGTTCAGATCTTACTTTCTTCTTCTTCCCGCCATCGGCATCCCGTTTTCCTCCTCCGCGGCCACGGTGCAGCTTAGCATAGTAGAGACCAATCTCGCGTCCCTTCAGTCCTGGTGGGTGTCCACCGCCTCGTCCTCGACCTCGTCCACCCCGACTATACCCACCAGCACCGTCGTCGTCTCTCCTGGCACCTCCGCCGCTGTGCTTGTGGCCTCCTCGTCTGCTTCCAAACCCATCGTCTACTACCCTCGGGTAGGCACGGTGTTCTTCATAGCCATCGTCAAAGTAGTCAGACTGTTGACCCATAGCCTCTCTTCTCCGGCCACCGCCACGCTGCTGACCAGGGTGACGGAATTGGCCGCCGTGTTCCAGGTCGTCATCTTGCCATCGTCCTCTTCCCCTGCCACGGCCTCTTCTCCCGCGTGCCCGAGGAGCGTCCAACCACTGTCCGTGTCCGTCGTCCAAACCGCTCATGTCAGAGTAGGGCCGTGCCGCTCCAAACCCACTGGCTGTGCTGGCATTGCTAGAGAGAGCACCAGCACCAGCACCAGCACCTGTAGCGCTGTATGAACCACTACTGCTAGTTGCACTGGTCGCAGCAGCACTGCCACTGTTGTACGGGGAGAATCCCAAGTCCAGTCTGGGTGGACCAGTTCCACTACCGCCGCCCCTGGCTTGCATTGCTAAGATGAAATAGGCCCTACTGGGCGTCGTGTAGCCTTCCCTTGCTCTAAGCAAGCATTTCACTCTCAGCATTCAACAGTAGTATTTCCGCAGTGACAAGAACTGGCACGACAATGTCGCTGCAGCTCCACGCACTCGAATGCTTCAAGTTCAAACGTTTTCGAGGAGTGATGCAGTTTACAAAACTGCTGATTTTCAATATCTAATCTTATCCTATACAGATGCATAAAAATTGCATCATGATCATGAACGGTAGGACATGTCGACAGTGAGCATACAGATGCCTACACTGTGAGTGTGACAAACTTACTTACTTAGACCAGAACAAGGCAATTCTGATCTCTCCCTCGTCCCACGAACCAAAAATGGAAACTGCATAAGCAGAAAGACTGAAATGTCTGTGAAATGAAAATTGAAAATCCAAAAAGTTTTGAATGGGTCGTGACATGATCATATGATGACGTGCTGCATGCGAAATGTGTGCATCCACATGATGTAATGCAAAAAATGCCTTTTTTGACGTGACGCCGCGGATCCAGCAAAGACAAGAGTTTTCTTGCCACAACAAGAAACAGGAAAGTAAGCTTCATGGTGATGTTTTGGAGGACTTGACAAGCAGTTTGTGGAGTTTATCCAATTAATTTGTGTAACGGCGATGAGTGGCTTCACTACAAGCCTTCAGTGATACGTCGTGATCTGATCTGAATCCGTTATATTTCTCAGTGAGGTCTACTGTGTGGACAGATCTAGAGTATTACTAGAGACCTTTCAGTGCTGAACAAACATATAAATCGTTTTACTAAAAATAAGCAGTAGCTTGTTGTAAGAGGCAAGTGGCTCTTTTTTTGCAGACAAGCGATGCTGATGTGTTGATGGGGTGGCATCTATAGCTCTGACCTACAATGAGTGCGGTGTATAAGCAACGGTAAGAACGATTTGTCACCTGTAGACTAGTATGCGTATCTGCAGTGGTGTGTACTCATTGTATTTTCGTATCAATTGGAAAATTCGAACTTCTGTTTATGAATAGTTATCCACGTGTGGTGGCCCACGTGTGGTGGCGTGCGGGTGAGAGAAGTGTACGAATGTTGTGGGTCTGGTCTGGGGCCGGTGTATACCTGGAGCGCTTGCTGTTGTGAGCAAATTATTTGTTAGCCACAGCCAGTGGGGAAAATCTAAATCCATCTCCAGTGCTCCTGCTAGCATATAATGACATGCTGATAATCCTTACAGTAGTCCCTAAGATAATTACCTTGTCATGATTGCTGTGCATTCTGAAAATAGGTAGGCTCCACTTTATTCAATGTAGCCATCAAATATCCGAATTTTCGGGCTGCCCCAAAATCCGGATATAATCCATCTGCGGACAGCATGCTATCTATTTATTTTTCTCGATTGATTGTACAGACCTATTGTACACTGCCAAGGAGCGAATGTTCATTTTGGTTTGTTTTTGCGTGTCCGTGATGTGTGTGCTTACGTGCGTGTGGGTGGGTGTGTTTGTGTGCGCGGATGCGTGGTTTAGGGTGGCGGAAGTCGACCAGCTCTTGGCAGAGCCGAAGCTTGATTTCAAGAAGGTCCGTGCGTTCTCCTTCGACCATGGTACGGTTGCTAGGACAACCTTTTTTTCAGATCTGCACACATGACTACCCTGGAGTATAGTACTGTAGAGGCAGAAAATTTCGTCGGTCAATAATTTCGTCCAACTCCAAAGAAAAGGAGTTCGTCCGGTTGAAAATTTCGTCCATGGATCATAAGAGTGTATAGAAAAGCTGGACAAATCGATATTCGTCCTACATTTAATTTAGTCCAAAAGCTCCTTGGACGAAAAAGACGAAATTAAATTCCAGACGAATATTTCTGCTTATACAGTATGCGGCGATTGGGTGTAACAGAAGTGTTTTTTTCTTCCTCTCCAGAATTCATCAGTGACTTTATCTGGTTAGGAGAGCTAACTTAGAACAGTACTGGCCAGTGAAATCCAACCTCATGAATAAAATAGCGTTGCCGGGTGCTACGCATACTGGTCTGTGCTCTTGAACGCGGCGCCACTTTATTCATGAGGTTGGATTTCACTGGCCAGAACTGTAGTACATGTACATAAATTATACTTCAAAGTACTGCGCAAACCTTGACTGGCTATATGTTGGACATGTTGGCTCATTGCATACATGTAGTTTCTCTTACAGAACGGTACTTGCAGTATAGTATTTGATGTGCTTTATCCACATGTATGCACACACAGGCATTCCGGAGGGAGCAGGGCGTCGTGCAACTGTCTGGAAGGTGAGTTTGTGTGTGCGTGTGTGTCGGTGTATGTGTGTGTGTGTGTGTGTGTGTTTATGGGTATGGGTGGATGGGTGTTGTTTAGAGTACAGTGTCTGCTCTAGGATTGTAGGACAGCCGGGTACACGTGTACCTGGCGCAACCATTTCAACCGGGTTGGAGCCGGGTACACATGTATTCGACGCGTGCCTCGGCATGATCTGCCACACATACAAGCAAGAGTACATAACCAAGAGTGTGCAACTCCTATCTTGAGCTGCGATGGGTTCACCCACGGCCACAGCGGAATTTTTTTATTGCGTCATTCTTTGGCAGAATTATGATGAAGTGGGTATGCTTTCCCGCGCTTGTTTTGTAGATACGGTGAGAATTCGTCAGGTTCAAGACACATCAATCTATCGTCCGTTGTTCTGTTTCGACTACCGTAGCTGTTATGTACAAATTATTTGTACTTTGATCTCTGGCTACGCATGATGGCATCAGTGAGCCAAACCGCCGTCAAAGACTGGCGTCCTAAAAAAATTCCGCCGTGGGCTGGGGGATCATCGAGTTGCACACTCTTGGTTATGTACTCTTGATACGAGCCATGTAGTCAGTCCTTTCAAAGTTCGAACGTGTAAAGTACCAACCGGGTCACAGGTGACCCGGTACTATATTTTCAACGGGGTCCAAGCGCCGCCCAACCTGGTCTATTACCTGGCTCATCCGGCTCTGGAGCAGACACTGGAGTACTACTTCGAAGTGTGTGAACAACAGAGCCCAGTGTGCACTGGGTACTAGTATGGGGACAACACGCTAGTAAGTCTTACTTGTATTACCAGTGTGTTGCTTGGTGATGTTTATTGCACTATGAGAACAACAGAGTCCAGTGGGTACTAGACACTATGGGGACAACACACTAGTAAGTCTTATTACCAGTGTGTTGCTCGGTGATGTTTTGTTTGTTTAGATTCTACTCGACTACCTACCGTGTGATGTCAGTGAATGGCCAAAATGCTTAGCGAAAACAAGGTCAGTAGTCAGTACTGTGCTCTAGTCTACTGTACTGTGTCCTGTCCTGTACTTTAGTGTGTCCTGTACTGTCCTGTACTGTGTCCTGTACTTTAGTGTGCTGTACTGTACTGTAGTCTACACTGTACTGTGCTGTACTGTGCTGTACTGTGCTGTACTGTGCTGTACTGTGCTGTACTGTACTGTAGTCTACACTGTACTGTGCTGTACTGTACCCGGTACTGTACTGTACTGTACCCGGTACTGTACTGTACTGTACCCGGTACTGTACTGTACTGTACAGTGCTGTGCTGTAGTATGCAGACAGTGTACAGTGCTGTACTGTAGTATGCAGACAGTGTACAGTGCTGTGCTGTAGTCTACAGTATTGCTCAATGAAATCCAGTCGAGTTTCTCAAGTACGCGTCACTGGGCGTTGCGCAGCCCTAGACCTGCCAACACTGGGCTGCGAAATGGTGCACGGCGCAAACTTGAGTGACGCGACTGGATTTCATTGAGCAGGACTGCACTATGCAGTAGACAGTGCGGATATACTGGGTCAGGTCCCTGCAGTCTGTGTTTATCTGCCGCTACAAAGGAACACATGCTCTGCAGATCTATGCCTGTGCAAGTAGCTGCAGACTGGTGTGTGTCTGTTCCGCACATGTACCCTTTCCACTTTTCACCCCAGAAGCCTTATTAGATTTTTCGTGCAGTCCTGCCTGACTTGAGTGTTCGCAGAGCACTGTGTTCTGTATCGGTTTGTGCATTTATGTGCGCCTGGACTCTGTGTGTACCTGTGTGTGTGTGTGTGTGTGTGTGTGTGGGCGGGTGTGGGCGGGTGTGGATGTGGGCCTGTGTGTGTGGGTGGGTGTGGATGTGGGCCTGGACTCTGTGTGTACCTGTGTGTGTGTGTGGGTGGGTGTGGATGTGGGCCTGGACTCTGTGTATGGCTGTATGTGTGTGGGTGTGCATGTATGGCTGTGTGGCTCTGTGTAACTGCATGTATGGCTGTGTGGGTTTTCTATGCAGGAAAACATATCAAGAGTTCGTGGAGGAGATTATCATCAACCCACATGAGCAAGCCAACAATGATCATGTAAGCCTTTTGGAGACTTGTATACATTAGCATTCTTTTCATTGCCATTTCTCTAGGGTCAATATGTAGCAGTTTGTTTTTCCTTGTCCTGGTATTGATGCAAGCCCCTCACCTCATGCACCTTACTGTGTTCTAAGCAGAGTAATGCAGTTGTCGTCGCTGTGCTTGTGATACACACATGGTGTGTAGGCCGGCCAAGAGAGCGCACAGTGATGTGTTCTAAGCAGAGTAATGCAATTTGTCCTCACTGTGCCAGTGTGGTTGTGTTACACCCATGCCAGTGTGGTTGTGTTACACCCGTGCCAGTGTGGTTGTGTTACACCCGTGCCAGTGTGGTTGTGTTACACCCGTGCCAGTGTGGTTGTGTTACACCCGTGCCAGTGTGGTTGTGTTACACCCGTGCCAGTGTGGTTGTGTTACACCCGTGCCAGTGTGGTTGTGTTACACCCGTGCCAGTGTGGTTGTGTTACACCCGTGCCAGTGTGGTTGTGTTACACCCGTGCCAGTGTGGTTGTGTTACACCCGTGCCAGTGTGGTTGTGTTACACCCGTGCCAGTGTGGTTGTGTTACACCCGTGCCAGTGTGGTTGTGTTACACCCGTGCCAGTGTGGTTGTGTTACACCCGTGCCAGTGTGGTTGTGTTACACCCGTGCCAGTGTGGATGTGTTACACCCGTGCCAGTGTGGTTGTGTTACACCCGTGCCAGTGTGGTTGTGTTACACCCGTGCCAGTGTGGTTGTGTTACACCCGTGCCAGTGTGGTTGTGTTACACCCGTGCCAGTGTGGTTGTGTTACACCCGTGCCAGTGTGGTTGTGTTACACCCGTGCCAGTGTGGTTGTGTTACACCCGTGCCAGTGTGGTTGTGTTACACCCGTGCCAGTGTGGTTGTGTTACACCCGTGCCAGTGTGGTTGTGTTACACCCGTGCCAGTGTGGTTGTGTTACACCCGTGCCAGTGTGGTTGTGTTACACCCGTGCCAGTGTGGTTGTGTTACACCCGTGCCAGTGTGGTTGTGTTACACCCGTGCCAGTGTGGTTGTGTTACACCCGTGCCAGTGTGGTTGTGTTACACCCGTGCCAGTGTGGATGTGTTACACCCGTGCCAGTGTGGTTGTGTTACACCCGTGCCAGTGTGGTTGTGTTACACCCGTGCCAGTGTGGTTGTGTTACACCCGTGCCAGTGTGGTTGTGTTACACCCGTGCCAGTGTGGTTGTGTTACACCCGTGCCAGTGTGGTTGTGTTACACCCGTGCCAGTGTGGTTGTGTTACACCTGTGCCAGTGTGGTTGTGTTACACCCGTGCCAGTGTGGTTGTGTTACACCCGTGCCAGTGTGGTTGTGTTACACCCGTGCCAGTGTGGTTGTGTTACACCCGTGCCAGTGTGGTTGTGTTACACCCGTGCCAGTGTGGTTGTGTTACACCCGTGCCAGTGTGGTTGTGTTACACCCGTGCCAGTGTGGTTGTGTTACACCCGTGCCAGTGTGGTTGTGTTACACCCGTGCCAGTGTGGTTGTGTTACACCCGTGCCAGTGTGGTTGTGTTACACCCGTGCCAGTGTGGTTGTGTTACACCCGTGCCAGTGTGGTTGTGTTACACCCGTGCCAGTGTGGTTGTGTTACACCCGTGCCAGTGTGGTTGTGTTACACCCGTGGTGTGTAGGTTTGTTTGCTTTAATTGTTGCTGCACTGATGTGTATGTTGAGCTGGCTTCCAGCCGTTAAACCCTCGTTTTGTCACATTGGTGTGTATGTTGTATTGCTTTCCAGCCATTAAACTCTCGTATTGTCACACTATTGTGTGTGTTGTATTGTCTTCCAGCCGTTGAACCCCAATCCTGATAGTCAGTGGAATGCTTACTTCAAGGACAATGGCATCCTGGGTCAGATTGACAAGGACGTGCGACGACTCTGTCCGGACATTTCCTTCTTCCAGCAAGCCACCCCGTACCCGTGTCCCTCTCTGGCCATGGGAAAATTGCAAGGTGTGTTCACATGTGGGTGGGGGAGGGGGGGGGGGAGTGGGGCCCGGACACAGGGACGTAACTGGTCCCCCTTTTAGGGGGGTGGACGGCGGCATACAATGTATGTGTAGGATAGCTGGTGCATGTCAATCATGGACAATGTGCATGTCAATCATTGACAACATGCATGTCAATCATGGACAACGTGCATGTCAATCATGGTCATAACGTGCATGTCAATCATGGACAACGTGCATGTCAATCATTGACAATGTGCATGTCAATCATGGTCATAACGTGCATGCCGAATCTAGGTCAAAAATGTTATTGGGGTGCACGTGCCCTATGTGAGTTACGTGCCTGTCCCACGTATAGTGTACTATACTCGGGGACCGGCGCAAGCAGTTATTGATTGGTGCGGCTACACCATAGTTCTTCATACTTGGTGTGTAAGATGTGGCGGGTTCACATGACATCATCGGCAGTAAACATGGGGTGGTGGAACCTGTCTGGTTGGTCCAACCATGGCCTGACCAACCAGACAGGTTCCACCACCCCTGATACATGTACTCCATTAGGACTGTACCCGTACTCTCTCCTGTATACCCTGATTAGTCTGAAGTTTCATCAGAAAACTGGACAGGTGGGCGGGAGGGGAGATTCTACTGCAGCTATTGTGCTATATCTGTGTGTAAGGTTTTACAAGGTGTATACTTGGCCTTGCGTTTGAGAATACAACTGGCGAAGGAATTGCTCTTGTTGCCGTTGCTTTCAACCTGTGCTGCTCTGTTTCTGTTCTGCTGTTAGGAATCGAGTCCTTGTCTGAACGTGTAGAGAGAACATGCTTAGAGTCGGCACAGGTAGAAACGTCCAGAATGGGCCTTACAAGAAATGTAAGCCGTGCTGTTTCTCTCTCTGTCTTTGCCTCTCTCTCTCTCTCTCTCTCTCTCTCTCTCTCTCTCTCTCTCTCTCTCTCTCTCTCTCTCTCTCTCTCTCTCTCTCTCTCTCTCTCTCTCTCTCTCTCGCTCGCTTGTCATGGGTACCTGGAAAGTTCACAACAGTCCGCCTGTATTGTTGGTGTCATTTCAGGCGACAGCACACAAGATTCCCGAGGAGGAAATTGAGCCGTACAAACTGCTACCCAAAGGCCAGGAAGCACACTGGCAGGTAAGTTACTACAATATCGTTGGTAGAGTCATGATTCGTAAATGCACATTCCCTCAGTGATTGGTGCAGTCGTGACTCATGATGACACAATCCCTCAGTATTCGGTAGAGTCTCGTGAGGACTCGGCAGCACTGTTCACAGTGTGCTGTTTCCTTGGAGTGTGTTTCAGTGCGTACATGTATGCCATACCTGTTTCAGGGTTCTAGCCAGGTCAATATAGTAGGGGGGCGGGCATGGGAAAAAGTTACCCCGTGACCCATTTTTTCCATTGTGCAAAATTGTCTTGCCATGCAAAATGTAACATACAGGGTGAACCCCAACTTCACCCCTCACAAATGTGCCTTTATGAACCCTCTAGTAGTGACTATCGACTGTATTTTCGTTGAATGGCGTGAAAAAACACAGAAATCGGAAAATGAGTAGGGGGGCGGCACTATTTCACAGGGGGGGGGGGGAGGGTAGGGGGGCGCTGCGCCCCCCCCCCCCCCTACCCCCATTTGGCTAGAATCCTGCTGTTTCCTTGGAGTGTCTTTCAGTGCATACATGTATGCCATACCTGTTTCCTTGGAGTGCCTTTCAGTGCATACATGTATGCCATACCTGTTTCCTTGGAGTGTCTTTCAGTGCATACATGTGTACATGTATGCCATACGTGGGTACTTTCTCAGTGTACACCCGTGATTCCATACAAACAGTGATTCCATACAAACAGTGATTCCATACAAACAGTGATTCCATACAAACAGTGATTCCATACAAACAGTGATTCCATACAAACAGTGATTCCATACAAACAGTGATTCCATACAACCAGTGATTCCATACAAACAGTGATTCCATACAAACAGTGATTCCATACAAACAGTGATTCCATACAAACACTTGAAACAGTGATTCCGTACAGCAGTGTTCTTTTTTTTCCATTCAGGAAGTTGTTATTATACGACAGTACTGAGAAAATATCCACGCGAAACGAAAGCAGAACGGTAGCCGAAAAAAATTACTAAATTTAGTGCGAAAATAAGAAAAACAAATAGCAGTGTTGCCATACAGCAGTTATTCCATTCAACAGTGATTTCATTCACCAGTGATTTCATTCACCAGTGATACCATGCGACAGTTGTTCCATACAAACAGTGCTTCCGTACAGCAATGCGTCCATACGGCAGTGATCTCCTACAGCCAATGCATCCGTGAATTCAGTGATTATGTTGCTGTTTTAGCTGCCTTGCAATTATTCTAGTGTCGCTGTGTTTGCTTCTGCATGTGCTCGATACCGTAACGTTAGCTCAGCAAACCACCAGTATCATGTCTACAGTTATTGTCCTGAGCATGTTGCTATTCTTGTGTGGGTGTGGATGTGTGGGTGTGCGTGTGGATGTGTGCGTGTGGATGTGTGGGTGTGCGTGTGGATGTGTGGGTGTGGGTGTGGGTGTGGATGTGTGGGTGCTTGCATATGACTGTGTGTTTGCTTGACAGGTTGTAGAGAGAATACTGTTCATCTACGCCAAGCTCAACCCAGGAATAGGCTACGTACAGGTGCGTGTGTGTGGGGGGGGGGGGGGGGGAATACCCAATACGTACTACTGACTATCCTGTACACATGTATGTACGCTCATACCTCGGTTATCCGGACACCATAGTTACGGGCACTTCGGTCTACCGGGCACCCTTTGGGCAAGTTTTAGTGGAAATATTACTACTCTTTTGTCACTTTTTGTGGAAATAGTGACGTCATATGCCATATCTGTGGCCTTTCCCCATCAAAATGTATGTGATTCGGAGTTACGGGCAGTACCCGGTCTCGGACCGCCCGGATAAACAAGGTATGAGTGTACTTGTTCCATGTACTGTGTCTGTGTGTGTACAGGGTATGAATGAGGTGATTGGTCCTATCTACTATGTGTTTGCTGGCAACACACCACCAGAATGGCAAGGTATGGCCAGATAGAACTGTTATATCCACCATGCCATACCATAATCAAGCCCATACACATCCTGTATCCTATGGCCTGGCATTTATGTCTTATTCTCCAAAGCAGGGAGTAGTTGAATACTTTTATAGTATTACTCCATGATTTCAGTGTCTGCTCTAGGATTGTAGGACAGCCGGGTACACGTGTACCTGGCGCAACCATTTCAACCGGGTCGGAGCCGGGTACACATGTACCTGGGACTGTCTCAGCAGCCGAGTCACATAACATGCTTTAACTGGTTGGTTGGTTTATTCGGACAATAAACGGGAACTAGGCCCAATGATATAAAGGCGAATGGATAAGCCGCATTTAGAAAAGAGAGGACAAGAATTAGAAAATTACGAAAGAAGAAGAAGTATCTGACACATACTTGTACAAGCCATGTAGTCAGTCCTTTCAAAGTTCGAAAGTGTAAAGTACCAACCGGGTAACAGGTGACCCGGTACTATATTTTCAACCGGGTGCAAGCGCCGCCCAACCGGGTGGATTACCCGGCTCACCCAGCGCTGGAGCAGACACTGGATTTAAAGTTTGGCCCCCTGTAATTGTGGTGTATGGGAGATAGCCAGCCATACCTGATCTTGTTCTCATGTTATGTATCACGTTTTAGTGCGAGGATGGGGGGTGGGGGGGAGGCAATAGTCCTTATGCACATTGTACAGATGTACGAAGTTCTGTACTATGGCCGTAGGTGTGTACATACCCGGTTGGGTGTTCATTGTGTGCTATACATGCGCGTTTGACCCATTTAGCCTCACAATTCATGGCAAACGATCACTTTTCAAGCCTTCTTCACTTTGGGATTGAACTAACGACTAGCTAGATCTCTGCCGGAAAAAGATTTCGTATGAAATGCCTTCGTGGCCCATTTCATAGTGGAAATAGCAGTAAACACAATAGGGTCCTGCACATTCAACACCCAACCGGGTCTACGGGATTCTACAAGATTATACGGGATTTCGTGCATCTGTACAATGTGCATAAGGCCTATTGGCAGAAGATGCATTAGTTTCTTACAGAGAGCATAATCAAATGTGCCATGAGAATTTGATTGCAACGGCCAAGCAATGGTGACCAAAATATGTTCACTTCAAAGTAAGTTTCTTCTCCGTGTTAAAAGTCTGACTATGGTTATAAGAAACACACTATGTTTGCCTTGTCAGCCATACTGTAGTGTAGTTCTCCCTGGTTTCTTCATGACAGTCATGTCTCTGTCCTTCCATGTAACACACACACAGAGCATGCAGAGGCAGACGCTTTCTTCTGTTTCACCAGCATCATGTCCGAGATCAAGGACAACTTCATCAAGACGCTGGATGACTCGGCATGCGGCATCGGTCAGTAGCTAGTTAGCCAGCATACATGCTTATGCTAACCTGTGCTGTGGTGTGCTGTAGTAACAGCAATAGCTGATAGTGACAGTTTGTCAGCGATGTGTGTCCATGTTTGGATCGGTATGTCCTCAGGGTTTCTGGGTACATGTATATCTGTTTGCGTAAGATACTACAGTACTGACTGCGTGTCTGTGTGCGTGTCTGTGTGCGTGTCTGTGTGCGTGTCTGTGTGCGTGTGCGTGTCTGTGTGCGTGTCTGTGTATGTGCATGTCTGTGTGTGTGTGTGTGTGTTTGTCTGTGTGCGTGTGTGTGTGTGTGTGTGCGTGTCTGTGTGCGTGTCTGTGTGTGTGTACGTGTCTGTGTGTGTGTCTGTGTCTGTGTCTGTGTGTCTCTGTGTGTGTCTGTGAGTGTCTGTGTGTGTGTGTATCTGTGTGTGTGTCTGTGTGCGTGTGTGTCTTTGTGCGTGTCTGTGTGCGTGTCTGTGTGTGTGTCTGTGTCTGTGTGCGTGTCTGTGTGTGTGTGTGTGCATGTCCATGTGCGTGTGTTCTTGCGTTGTTCAGGTGCTATGATGGTACAGCTGATGGAGTTGCTGCAGAAATGTGATAAACCTCTGCACGACCTTCTTGTGGTGAGTTAGATGGTGGCGGAGAGGGAGTGAGAGGAGAAGGGGGGGGGGGAGAGAAGGAGGGGAGGGTGGGGGGGGGGGGGGGAGTGAGAGAGGAGGGATGGTGGGGGAGGGGGGGTGGAGTGAGAGAGGAGAGAAGGGAGGGGGGAGGGACACACAAAAAGCCTGATGTTATCTCACTGTGTATATGCACAGGTACACACTCATCAGAACAATGGCATTCTCCCTAGGATCACAGCAGAGGGACTCGCACACACACACACACACACACACACACACACACACTCACACACACACACACACACACACACACACACACACACACCCTTGTTTGATTCACTAGTGTAAACTTGCTGCTACTGTATGCTCAAGCTGACTGAAAGCTATTTGCTGCAAGTACTCTGGAAGGAGAGAAAGTTTGACTGGGGAAACAATCAATCAAGTTAGTGTCGCCTTCTCTTCCATCAGGGGGTGAGAGGTGTAGCCTTGTTCATCCAGTCAGATGGCACAGAGAAATCCCCTTGGATGCACGATACTTTGGCTGGCGATGTAGACCGGGGCTTCACATGAGCTGCAGCAAAGGAAGATTTGAATGAGCCGTCCTCAGCCTCCACTTCATACATCATGAAGTTGCCAGGCTCACCATAACGTGACGGAGCACAGTTCCTTCACGCCACTTGCCAACAAGTGCAGCTGTACCGGCTGCTCCGTCAAGATTGAGTGCACGGAACACCCACCTTGAATTCCCTGCCGTTGTCCGTCTGCAGGATCCTTGGCGGGCCATGCATAAATGCATTTGAGAGCCACTGCACATGCCTCCTTTGCAGACTTTGACTTGATGCCTGCACCCATGAACCACTGCACATACATCCTTTGCAGACTTCGACTTGATGCCTGCACCCATCGCCAACCTAGAGAAGCAGTCCACGATATTGCAGACATACTCAAAGCCACGTACCAAAGGCAACTTCTTCAAATCCATCTGCCATCGCGAATTTGTGTATGTGGCTAAGATGGAGCGGCGGACCAAGGACATTTTTGGCAGAGGAGCCTGGCGTTCACATGCCGTACGTTTCACGTGCTCCTTATAAAGAGCGATGATGTTCTCCCGGACCACAGGATATTAGTGGCAACGCGGGGTGCCTTAGCATGTCTGTGCTCGCGCTGGTGCTCCTCCTTCTGAAACAACTCAACCAGCCTTTCTCGCGACACACAAAGGCGATGCTTCTTGTTCAGCTCCGTTGACTTATAGAACAACGCATTCCCCTTCAAGTCGTAATGGTACGTGTCGCAATGCCTTTGAATCTGTGTGCCACCTCAAAAAAATCACTGCCTGCCACTGGAAAAGGAAGTGTCGAAGTGGACCTAACACGGAAAGGAGTGGTGTATGACCATGGGACATTCTACGCATGCCAATACTGGCCATAAAGTCATAATATTTGGATCGTGATTTTGTGATCACTCACAGGGAAAGTCGCGTGCTTTTGTGACTGGTCATGGGCACTGAAAAACTAGTCCGTGACTCAGTGACAGTTTGTGACCGCTCGCCAGATATTTGTGACTGTATGGTTGGTCACTGAGATGTGATCGGTCACCGAGTCCCACATAATTTATACCTTCCTCGTTGAGTTTTAAAATTATGACGTTTCTGGCCAGTCTCCTATCGTCAGAACGATTTACAAGGGGGGAAACCTGGCCTTTATAATAGCAACAGCTATGTACACAGTCATGACACATGAACAACAGCTATGTAGACAGTCATGGCTATGTACACAGTCATGGCACATGAAATGCAAACCAATGTACACTGTCAGCACCGAAGCCTACTCAACCTTGCACCTGGCCAATGATCACGACGGCACTAGTAATCAAACCCTGGCCAATGATCATAGCACTGAAAGTGCTCTTTGATCCAGATTTCACTTGCTGCATTGCATTATTAATTCAATAAGGTCAAAACGGCTTGCTGTTCAGAGATTGAGTAGTACATTGTATTGTTTAAGTATACTGAGCCAGTAATAAAATGTAGAAAAGAGAAGAAACACATGAGAACGAGTTATGCAGCAACTATCCACGACTGTAACAAGATGATGAACGGTCAGAAAGTGCGATAATAACCTTCCCCTCTTCGGTCCTACGTAACCATGAACCTTCCAAGTTGGAAGGCTGTTGGTTTGCGCACTGGAGATGTGTTAGAGCTAGGTCTCGGGTCGCTGAATGTGTCAGTAGCCTGTCAGTTTTGTGCCCTATTATCGCACTTTCTGACCGTTCATCATCTTGTTACAGTCGTGGATAGTTGCTGCATAACTCGTTCTCGTGTGTTTCTTCTCTTTTCTACATTGTTTTATACTGTTATATATACACCTACTCAATCTCTTGACAGCTAGCTCTTTCAAATGTATACGGTCTTGTCAGCTAAGCTCAACGTGACTGGCAGAATTTGTCTACACATACCGGTACACGTATACCGTATGTAACACATACCCTGGTGCAATTCTCATGCTGATAGTGTATCCGTGTGTGTGTGCGTGTGCGTGCGTGTGTGTGCGTGTGTGTGTGTGCGTGCGTGTGTGTGTGTGTGCGTGTGCGTGCGTGTGTGCGTGCGTGTGTGTGTGTGTGCGTGTGTGTGTGTGTGCGTGTGTGTGTGTGTGTGTGTGTATGTGTTTGTCACCATTACATGTGTATGTGTATGTGTGCTGGTGACAGGAGAAGCAGCATTTGAGTCCGCAGTTCTACGCGTTTCGTTGGCTAACTCTCTTGCTCTCACAGGAGTTCCAGTTGCCTGGTAAGAAGCTGTACAACACTGTATGATATTGCCTCTGCACTATGCACTGCTCTGCTGTGGTATGCTGTATGGTATTGCCTCTGCACTATGCACTGCTGTGCTGTGGTATGGTGTATGGTATTGCCTCTGCACTATGCACTGCTGTGTCATGGTGTGCTACACTATGCACTGCTGTGCCATGGTGTGCCACACTATGCACTGCTGTGCCATGGTGTGCCACACTATGCACTGCTGTGCCATGGTGTGCCACACTATGCACTGCTGTGCCATGGTGTGCCACACTATGCACTGCTGTGCCATGGTGTGCCACACTATGCACTGCTGTGCCATGGTGTGCCACACTATGCACTGCTGTGCCATGGTGTGCTGCACTATGCACTGCTGTGCCATGATGTGCTGCACTATGCACTGCTGTGCCATGGTGTGCTGCACTATGCACTGCTGTGCCATGGTGTGCTGCACTATGCACTGCTGTGCCATGGTGTGCTGCACTATGCACTGCTGTGCCATGGTGTGCCACACTATGCACTGCTGTGCCATGGTGTGCTACACTATGCACTGCTGTGCCATGGTGTGCTGCACTATGCACTGATGTGTGGTATTGCCTCTGCACTGTGCACTGCTGTGCCATGGTGTGCTACACTATGCACTGATGTGCCATGGTGTGCTGCGGTGTGATGTGCTGTATGGTATTGTGACTATTGTCTCTGCACTGTGCCATGCTGTGCTGCAGTGTGATGTGCTGTATGGTATTGTGACTATTGTCTCTGCACTGTGCACTGCTGTGCTGCGGTGTGATGTGCTGTATGGTATTGTGACTATTGTCTCTGCACTATGCACTGCTGTGCTGTGCTTGGCGTGGTGTCGTGTAGTGTGATGTGCTGTATGGTATTGTGACTATTGTCTCTGCTGTGCTGTGCCATGGTGTGCTGCGGTGTGATGTGCTGTATGGTATTGTGACTATTGTCTCTGCACTATGCACTGCTGTGCTGTGCTTGGCGTGGTGTCGTGTAGTGTGATGTGCTGTATGGTATTGTGACTATTGTCTCTGCTGTGCTGTGCCATGGTGTGCTGCGGTGTGATGTGCTGTATGGTATTGTGACTATTGTCTCTGCACTGTGCCATGCTGTGCTTGGCGTGGTGTCGTGTAGTGTGATGTGCTGTATGGTATTGTGACTATTGTCTCTGCTGTGCTGTGCCATGGTGTGCTGCGGTGTGATGTGCTGTATGGTATTGTGACTATTGTCTCTGCACTATGCACTGCTGTGCTGTGCTTGGCGTGGTGTCGTGTAGTGTGATGTGCTGTATGGTATTGTGACTATTGTCTCTGCACTATGCACTGCTGTGCTGTGCTTGGCGTGGTGTCGTGTAGTGTGATGTGCTGTATGGTATTGTGACTATTGTTAGGGATCTCAGCGCGTGCAGTGCGCAGGGTGTTTGCGCATACATTGCGTCATCGAGTTTTGAGTGCAGCTCGCGGACACAGCAGAAAAATGGCGACGGTCGATTTTCGACACTAGGGCCAGTAGGGGACGCGGTGGACACTAGCGGAATCGTCATCTTCATCGTCGTTCGAACATACTTTGTAATTCCCGCCGAAGGACAGCGTGGCCAAGGCGATATTGCCCCGGTCGATTTTCCTATAATTTTCCATGCGGCAAGAACCCACTTCAGAGAGGATTCAGTCAAAAATTCAGACGTTTTCTCCAGTTAGATTGTCCTAACTTCGATTTTCAGTGCATCAGCTATCGCGAACATCGCCGCCATTATCACTCAGAGAGAAGACATCGCGCTCAGTAGAAGAGGTGTTCACGCTGCGTACAAGAGTGAAAGATTGTGCTCTTTGACCCTCCATAGTTCCTCTGAGAGAGTGTCTGGGAGATAGGTAGCTTGGAAATGGCCGTAGAACGTGCTTTCCTGGACGCAATATTCAGCCATTTCTACTGTCTTCTTCAACTTGATTTATTTCGAAAAAAATGTTCTTTTCCACGATTTCTGCACTGGACGCGTTTGGGATCGAAAATCTCACCTGCGCAGACTGGCTGCGCAGTTCACGCGCTGAGATCCCTACTATTGTCTCTGCTGTGCTGTGCCATGGTGTGCTGCGGTGTGATGTGCTGTATGGTATTGTGACTATTGTCTCTGCACTGTCCCATGGTGTGCTTGGCGTGGTGTCGTGTAGTGTTGTGCTGTATGGTATTGTGACTATTGTCTCTGCTGTGCTGCGCCATGGTGTGCTGCGGTGTGATGTGCTGTATGGTATTGTGACTATTGTCTCTGCACTGTCCCATGCTGTGCTTGGCGTGGTGTCGTGTAGTGTGTAGTGCTATGTACCTCATCTGCAATTGTCTACCTGACTTCAGTAGGGAAGACCAAGGTGACCAGGGATGGGAGACAAACACCACCACCACCACTCGTTTGATGTTCAGATGTTTGAAAACTCGACTACATCATGCACATTGTACTCTTGACTATCTTCCAAATAACTAATTGACTCTTGTGTGGCAATCCACTGTGGTCAGATTGGAATTTGTCAAAATTGACTGTGGTCAAAAGTCTCTCTCTCTCTCTCTCTCTCTCTCTCTCCATTGTGTGTCATTTCTTGTCTGTTTTGTCATGTCTTCTTGTCACTGCTGCATGCTTAGATTTGATTCGCCTATGGGACAGTTTCCTGGCTGAGCGTAGTTGCTTTGACTTTCTCATCTACACCTGCTGTGCCATGATAGTGTAAGTACAGACAGAGCAGTGTTGCAGTGTGGTGGTGTGGTGGTGTGGTGGTGTGGTGGTGTGGTGGTGTAGTGGTGTGGTGGTATGGTGGTGTAGTGAGCATACAGGTTTACAGGACGGTACTGCCCATCCTTATATTGTGCTGGTCTGCAGTGTGGTGGTGTAGTGAACACACAGGTTCACAGGACGGTACTGCCCATCCTTGTATTGTGCTGGTCTGCAGTGTGGTGCTGTAGTGAACACACAGGTTCACAGGACGGTACTGCCCATCCTTGTATTGTACTGGTCTGCAGTGTGGTGGTGTAGTGAACACACAGGTTCACAGGACGGTACTGCCCATCCTTGTATTGTACTGGTCTGCAGTGTGGTGGTGTAGTGAACACACAGGTTCACAGGACGGTACTGCCCATCCTTGTATTGTGCTGGTCTGCAGTGTGGTGGTGTAGTGAACACACAGGTTCACAGGACGGTACTGCCCATCCTTGTATTGTACTGGTCTGCAGTGTGGTGGTGTAGTGAGCACACAGGTTCACAGGACGGTACTGCCCATCCTTGTATTGTGCTGGTCTGCAGTGTGGTGGTGTAGTGAGCACACAGGTTCACAGGACGGTACTGCCGATCCTTGTATTGTGCTGGTCTGCAGTGTGGTGGTGTAGTGAACACACAGGTTCACAGGACGGTACTGCCCATCCTTGTATTGTACTGGCCTGCAGTGTGGTGCTGTAGTGAACACACAGGTTCACAGGACGGTACTGCCCATCCTTGTATTGTGCTGGTCTGCAGTGTGGTGGTGTAGTGAACACACAGGTTCACAGGACGGTACTGCCGATCCTTGTATTGTACTGGCCTGCATGCAGTGTTGTAGCAGTGTCATGCTATCATTGTGCTTTTATTTGTGCGTTTTTTTGTGGCGTTGTTTGTGCTGCTGTTTCTGTTGTTGTTTGTGCGGTTGTTGGTGCTGCTGTTTCTGCTATCGTTTGTACTGTTTCAAATTTTTATTCACACGATAGTGTTGTTTGTGCTGTGGCTTGACAATGTGCTGTTGTTTGCGTTGTTCTTGCTATGCTTGCACCAGCATGCGGTTCATGGCCTCTCAAAGCCCTTTTCTCCCCTTGGGACTCCCCCCCCCCCCCCCAATATAAGGTGTACACGGATGCAGCGGGTTTTGTTGGTATAAAACGTCTCTCTCCTCCTTCTTCTTACCCCTGCCGGGTGCTAAGCAGATAACAGCAGCTGGCATGCTTCTTTCAGTTTTGTGTTGGACAGAGAAAAGGTCAGGATGGTATCATGTCGCAACCCTCGCGGCATCACCACCCCACTCGCTCTGTCTCCCTGTCTCTCTCTCTCTCTCTCTCTCTCTCTCTCTCTCTCTCTCTCTCTCTCTCTCGCGCGCGCGCTCGCTCTCTCTCTCTCTTTCTCTCTCTCTCTCTCCCTTTCCATTTCCACGTTTTGTGTTTGAGTGAGAATACTTGTATTCAAAGATTTGTTGGACGTGTGTCTTGCTGTCACAGAGTGCAACGGGACAAACTGATGGAGAATGATTTTGCACATAACATGAAACTTCTGCAGGTAAGACACCTGGTACAGTAGCTGTTGGCTGCTAATACTGGTGCTGGTGCAGTAGCTGTCCTTTATCTCCTGCTCTCTCTTTTTCTCCTGCTCTCTCTCTATCTCTCTCATGTTCTCTCTCACTTTCTCTCTCTCTTTCTTTCTTTTTTTTTTCTCTCTGGCTCCCTCTCCCCTCCCTTTCTCTCTGGACTATGTTGGTCTTCTGTCTTGGTTTCATCAAGTGTTCTTGTGAGCTCCCATAGCTCAGTCGGTTAGAGCGTCGTGCTAATAACGCGAATGTCGCAGGTTCGAGCCCTGCTGGGAGCACTCTCTTTTTTTTCTTCCCGATATTCGAGTATATTTATTTTCGGCTATTTTCAGCCTGGCCTTTTTGGCCTAAAATTGGTGGCGGCCGAAGTTTTGTTTTGCAAGGTTCCGTGTGATAGTGTATACAGACAGCAGCAGCATAGGCTGACATTTTAATGCGGCCGAGATGTGTTTTAGCCCTGGGAGGCCGAAATTTAAATGCGTCGACAATTTGTAGACCTACTGTAGTTCCTCATAGCTATCCTGAATACTTGCGCTACGAGTGTTTAGAGTATGATACACCCAGGGTGCTGGGAGTACTTGTATGCCATTCGCTAAGGGGCCATCCGTAAATATAGATATTTATTTAGAAACGAAAACTAGTCGTTTAGGGGGGAGGAGGTTGAGCGCCTGTTCGTTTCTCGAAAAAATATCGATGCACAGTTTGTATGTGTGGGCACGTCGAGAAAGGAAAAGAAAGAATATCGATACTATGCATCGTTTGTATGTGTTCGTTTCTGAGGGAGGGGTGAGGGGGTTGAAGAGAAACGACTAGTTTTCGTTTCCAAATAAATATCGGTATTTACGGATAGCCCCTAAGGCAGAGAGCGATATGAGTTATCAATCTGCTTTTGGGGCCGTAATGCGAGTCCAGGACTTTGCCAAAGCATCTCAACTGACGTAGTATTCACATAACCTGTATTGATACACTAGTCACTAGTGTTAGGTACCTCCTCCCGTACCTTTTCTAGCTGGCCTGCATGCACTTTCGTACTCACCTTTTGTCTCCTTTTGTTCCGTTGGCCTGGGTAGCTGCTTGCGCGCCCATATTTGCCATAGCTACCCAGGCCCTTTATCTTGCCGTTCAGACTTGATCTCTCTCTCTCTCTTTTCTCACTCGTCAATAATCACCATGTAGTCGTTTCGTTCGTCTTGGTCTCTTGTCTCGTCGTCTATAATAAATGTCGTCCCAACCTACCTGTTCCCGTTGTAATGTCTGGATATGTCGTCAGTCGTCCTGTTTCGAACTCAACACTAGGAACTTGATTCCTATTGGGGTATTGATACACTAGTCACTAGGAACTTGATTTCTATTGGGGGTCATATCTTAAATGCTTTTTTGAAGTGTTTTAAAATGAAGGTAAAATATCCAACCGGACCAGTCAAACTATGCTGGCTACGGGCCCTGACAACATACCGTTATGGTGGCTACGGGCCCTAACAACATACGGTTGAGAACTCTACTGGTGACTTCCGCATGCCTCGCTACAGAACTTATAAGAGGGAGAGCTGCATTTGCATTCCCACGTCACATTCTTCAAACACAATCATAGGATACAATGTGAACTGTATCGCCTGCCTGTCATCTTTTGTGTCCTGGTGTGCCCTCCGCGCCCAGCTCCTCGCAGGAGATTCCCCCCATCCCCTCAGCTCCTAACGGGAGATTCCCCCCATCCCCTGAGCTCCTAACGGGAGATTCCCCCCATCCCCTCAGCTCCTAACGGGAAATTCCCCCATCCCATCAGCTCCTAACGGGAGATTCCCCCCATCCCCTCAGCTCCTAACGGCTCTCGGGCAAAAATGTTTTAGATTCTGGATCCTTCTGTCCTTTGGCCTACATGTTGTGACATGGCTGTTTGTGTGTGTGCCTGCCTATCGTTCTACGGCTGTTTGTGTGTGCGTGTACATTTTCGTACGGCTGTTTTGCAGAATTATCCGGATATCGATGTCCATGTGTTGTTGAGGAAAGCGATAGAGATCAAAGAACGGTACGAGCTGGAGCACCAGGATGTGCTTGCACGGTGATGTCACTGCTGGGCTGTTACGCAACCATTTGAATGCGGTGATGCTGTGTGGCTGCCTCAGCTGGGTCATCTGCGGTTCAACTTGGCTAGCTGCAGATATATTAGATTGAGTATGTGTGTCCGTCTGAACAGCTGCTGATAAGTATGATGGTGTGATCACCCTCAAATCACGCTCTAATCAAGGACGATCGCTTCTCTCTGCGTATACATGCTGCTATGTGCTACACCATCTGTTGATGTCAAGAACAGGAAACCTAGCCCGGTGATACTACACGGTACAGTGACGTGAGTGCGACCGTCAGATCTCTCTCTCTCTCCGCCTGCCTCAGTGCACCGTGCACCGTGCTTGATCATTCCTCACTCTTAGCCGTTGCTATCTGACTCATTTTAGCAAAGTCGGTAGCGGAACTTTGAGATCTTGTAAGCGTGTTACTTCCTCATGCACGGCCTTTTGATATGCACATCTATTCCGTGTGAGCTACCTCATGCACAGGTGGATTACAAACACTCTTCCGGTTTGTTCAGCCCTTTGCTTGCTCTGCAAGGTGACTTCTTGTCGGTTTCTCCTTTTCTTGCTATGTTCTTTCCCAGAGGCAATACTGAGCGCTGCTTTCTTTTTCATTTTTTTTAATCCTAGAATCTTGTTTTTGTCGACATGAAACACACGTTACATTAGGCGTAGGCGCATGTCAGATACCGGTGCCCTTCAGAGAGTAGGTGCATGTCAGATACCAGTGGCCTTGTGCCCTTCAGAGATTTACCTTCCTGTATTCTATTTTTGTTTTATCATTAGCCACGACTAGCGGTGAGAGTATCCGTGTGGCATTGCATCGTCAGCTCTCGTTATGCTGTGTGATCGCTCATGCACACTATCAGAGACAGTCGTGTCCCGTCTAAGCTTAGATATTCCGTTTGGTGTGTTGACCCACTGTGACTCCGCTTGCTTTTTTTAACCTGAACTTGTCTGCTTCGTGACGTTCTGCTTGACCCCCGGGCCCTTGCCTTCTTGGCTTGCGCTGCTACCCATATCTTCTTTTTGTTTCTTTCTCTCTTCTTTCTCCCCTCTCCTTCTTTCTCTCTCTCTCTCTCTCTCTCTCTCTCTCTCTCTCTCCCTCTCTCTCTCTTTCTCTCTCTCTCTCTCTCTCTCTCTCTCTCTCTCTCTCTCTCTCTCTCTCTCTCTCTCTTTCTCTCTCTCTCTCTTTCTCTCTCTCTCTCTCTCTCTCTCTCTCTCTCTCTCTCTCTCTCTCTTTCTCTCTCTCTCTCTCTCTCTCTCTCTCTCTCTCTCTCTCTCTCTCTCTCTCTCTCTCTCTCTCTCTTCTCTCTCCAGTCCAATGTTTCATGCCATTGGCACGCGTGCTTGTTTTGACACTTCAACCTGCGTTTCTCTTGATGCTGTTGCACATGGCTGGTCGTGTGGCGCATGACCAAGTTCTGCAAGATATTGATTGCCATTACTGTATCTGTGAACTTGAGGGGGTGCTGAAACCGTAAAAGACCTGTCGCTGTCGCTGCAGTATCATACTATGTTGTGAAGCAGTATGTAGAGGTGGGAATGGCTAAATAAGGCTTGCAGCCGGATGGATGCGTTCATGAACTCATGGACAAGCAATTAAGGGCAGCCATCGTGAGGCAGATCCCGATGAAGAGTCTGCTTGATTTACTCTTGGTCACACGCCCTCGGCTTTCTTCGTGACATTCATTGACAACCTTGTAGCAAGAGTGTAAGCTCCCAGGAGCTTACCGGTATTCTCTTCCTTTGTTGGATTAGTTATTATTATTCCACAATCACGATGACATAGTGCCAATAAACATATGCCATGATGCGGGTGATTTTAACAAGCCATAGTGGGGCTCTCTTCGTTTTGTTTTCGCTGCCTGGGCTCTCATTTATCTTTGCTTGCTTGCTTGTATTGCTGAGGGAACATATGCTGGTTTGTATTCGTGGGTCCCCATGGTGCATGGGCCACGCGTACTCATCCGGCGGATATGTGTGAATAATAATAATAATTATTATAATAGTAATAGTGGGGAAAACTGAGAAAAAGAAGGAATGTTCATGTCTTCCATGATCCAGTGGCAGACTGGCAATGCAGTGGTATTCACTTCAGGCAGGGTCAAAGTCCGAAAGGTCTAAATAGGGCATCTTGCCCACCAGGGCCGGGAGTTGTATTCGGTCTATTCCCTCCCCGGTGCCCCGGCACTGAACTGTCGTGCAAGCTGAACAGATCATCAGCAGAACCATCGTACTAGCACACTGATTGCCCACGTGTTCAAGTGCAGGTGCGCTTTATCTTCAAAAATTCCTCAGGGACTTCCCCTCGCGTTTTTATTCGGTGTACGGTATGGCATGCTGAATTGAATGGCAATACTGTACTGAGCGCCTGGGCCTGCCCCGAACCTTGGACTCTGGCGACCACAACGGTTCTCTCGATGCGTGTTCGGATATGCTGCAGACTTTGCGTTTGAGATGCATTGCCGAAGGACCTGACCTCCGACTGCTGCACTCATTTTTATTTGGTTAGTTGTGCGTTTGATAGCAACAATTACATTGAAGAGGCCAATGCTTGAGAATTTCTGCGTCGTGTTTCCGCTTGTCAGTTTTCCCTTATTGGTCTTCCCGTCTACTCTCGCCCTCTCAATCGTATTAGTAGTATTGTTCAAGATAAATTTCTTGATTTGATAATTTCGTGTGACTGTGAGAGAGTGGACTTCAAGGCCGGCTGCAGAGCTACTATAGCTGCGACTCCTGGAATGCTGAATAATTTTGTAGGACACAAAGATGGTGTGAACGTTGACACTAGTGCATCAGAACTAAAGGTAAGAAAAGCTCACACCCACAGAGAGAGTGACTTCCATCGCACTTTCTCCAGTACGTATATCTACGTGTACTGTTGGAACCACACATGCCAACGAGGAAAAAGAAATTTAATGAAAATAATATATATTGTTAGGTGAGCATTACATTATAAGTAGTAAGTTTCAATATAATTTGACAGACAGGCTAGTATTCAATAGAGAGGTTCTGCAAAACGAAAATGCGTACAAACATCCGCTCTACGTCATGAAGTGAGAAACTTCGCATGAACTTTCGCAACTTTGGACGCGAAACTTGCAAGGAACGCGAAATGAACTTTCGTGGGAAGTTTCGTGAGATTGGGTCATGGTGTACGTGCACTTGGCGCGTGCAAACTACGAAAAATGTGCGGAACACAAAGTTCGTGCGAAACTTTGTACACATTTTCGCAAGGCCCGTCGCGAAGCTTCGTTCGAATTTTCGTTTTGCAGAACCTCTCTAATAGGCAGTGATTAGTGGTGGATCCAAGGTCGCCCCCGAGGTCGCCCCGAAGACGAGGCCTGCCTTTAAAAATAAAATTCTCCCAACGTAGAGCAAGTTTCATAGTGCCAAAGGTTGTGAATGCATTAGTACTACACCTCCTTCCTTCCTTCCTTCCTTCGCCCACTGCCACAATTGACTATACTCGGACGTCTCTTATCCGGGCACCTTGGGACCGGGCACCTTGGGTCCGGGGCACCTTGGGACCGGGCACCTTGGGACCGGGCACCTTGGGACCGGGCACTGCCCGTATCTCAGATCTGCCCCTATCTCAGGATAACTCATCTATCACGTACCTCAACAGTTTTTGATGACGTTTATTTGGCACGTATTGCACATGCTCAGGATACGAAATAATCCATTGACGAAAGTGTGTGGATTACACAAGTTGGCAGTGACAAATATGCGCTTGTGTGCGTACGAAAAAAAGGTTCAAAATCTCCAAATTCAAAGAATTTTGCCGTAGGAATTCAAGCTGAAGGTGCCCGGTAGAGAGACGTGCCCGTATCTGAGGCGTCTGGATAAGAGACGTTTGAGTGTATGTGTCCCCAAGACTTGACACACACCTCACCTCACCTCAGACCTGCCCATCGCGAAAGCGATAATAGCGAACAGCTACAGTATGTTAGACATAGCAACTTGTGCTGGGATTATGCCATGACATACGCACGCACGCACCCACACACACACACACACACACACACACACACACACACACACACACACACCTCACCTCACCTCCTCAGACCTCACCTCAGACATGCCCATCGCGGAAGCGATGATAGCGAACAGCTATGTTAGACATAGCAACTTGTGCTGGGATTACACCATTCAATAGCTTGCAAGGCTAATGAATTGACCGCCACTATTTTTAGCCTGGTATCCACCACACAGCTGTTTGAAGTGACTTTTTCTGGCCAGTGAATCCCTATTTTTCATTTTTCCATTTTTTTCTACACACACACACACCACACCACATACTCCAGCATACACTGGCCACACACACACGTCAAGTGTGCCCCCCCCCCCCCCCACCACCACCACCATGGCCCATGGTCCAGGCACACACGTCACAGAAGTCACCAGCACACCTGTGTGAGGCCTCACTCACGTACGGGTCTACGTCACAGAAGTCACCAGCACACCTGTGTGAGGCCTCACTCACGTACGGGTCTACCTAACAACGATAAGAGGATGAAAAGAGTGTTTAACTCCAAGTTTCACGCACTAAAGCTGTGTTCCCAACTGGCGCGTGGGCGCGGTACGCTTGCGGTTCATGTGTGCCCAAACGCGCGCTCAGGCTTTCACAAAAGCAGCAATTCGGGTCGTATTTAGGGCGTGCGATGCCTTGACCTCACCAATCAAAGCTGGCATGTATGCTGGTACACGCCTGATACGCGCTGAGAATTGCAACATTTTGGAATTTCCATTTCGGCGCGTTTCCGTACGCATGGCACCCCAAAAGCCAGTAACAATACGCACAAACGCGTTTTCTGATGATCGCTTAGTGCGTGAAACTCTGAGTTAAAACACTTTTTTCGTCCTCTTGGTAAGGTTTGAGCTAGCTCTGCCTCTCGGTATTGAGCACTCTATTGGACAGCCTGGAACCTATCTGTTTCATGGGTATAGGTACCTATGTGTATTTGACATTTTTATGGAGCACTTTTATGTGTTGCTCTCGTACATGCCAGTCAGTGAAATGCAGCAATTGCAGGAAAATGGCTGCCATCACCTACAGCACTGTCATATTATGTCGACATGAGTACGCAGATGCGAGAGCTCAAGTTCATGTCAAGTGCATCATAGCACAAACTGTGAAGCTTGTGTGCAGTGTTCACGTGGCTACGCAGCTACACGCGTTCACGTTCACGTTGAGTGCACCTTAGCGCTTCTACATGTACAGTCCAGTCAGTAAAATACCGTAGAGTCGCGCGCTAAAGAACGTGGAGCCCAAGAACGTCCAGCCTGAAATTCTAAGAACGCCACAGCTGTAAAGCTAAGAACGCGGTGATGGTTTTCTGGCAGCTTATGGGATACATATGATCCTGGACGGATTGTTTCTAAAAGAACGTGCTCTAAGAATGCAGCCAGATTGCTGACAAAATAAGAACGTCCCAGGCTAACCCCTTGGAAAGAACGTTCTTGGGGGCGCGACTCTACTGTAGTGATGATGAGGTAACGGTGAAGGCAGCCCATAGTGAATTCTGACAGTAGGAACAAGAGGTGTTTGAGACGTCCTGTTTCCCAGAACTGAACATACTAGTACTGAGGGTGGTGCTCATGTCCTCTCCCTCCGTGATGATGACAGGCCCACGGAACCGGTCCGGTTGGTCAGGTTATCACCGGACCAACTTTGTGGCTACCAACGCATGTTTACTGCTGAGGGGGTATATGTCCCCAGACTCCCTACCATGTTATACACAAGCTGTATGAAAGACTATGGCATATGTCCCCGTCATGTCATGCACAAACTGTATGAAAGACTGTGGTACGACGGGACCAATTGATAACTGCTTCCGGTGGTCCTGGATGATAATCTGCTCTTCCAATAATATTTTGATTTCTATTTCTCCAAAAGGTGGACCATATTTTGAACGAAGTTATTTTCCGTCCGGGTTTAGCATGTATATTGTACAGACATGCTGGTCCAAAACCCATTTCCAGTCAAATTAGAATTGGGGCTTTTGAGCCTAATTTGGCCTGAATTAAATTTTGAAATTGTCCAGAGATCAAGTACAGTAAAACCTGTAACTAAAGACCACCGTGACTAGCGACCAGCCTGGTACTACAGTAAAACCTGTCACTAAAGACCACCGTGACTAACGACCAGCCTGGTACTACAGTAAAACCTGTAACTAAAGACCACCGTGACTAGCGACCAGCCTGGTACTACAGTAAAACCTGTAACTAAAGACCACCGTGACTAACGACCAGCCTGGTACTACAGTAAAACCTGTAACTAAAGACCACCGTGACTAACGACCAGCCTGGTACTACAGTAAAACCTGTAACTAAAGACCACCGTGACTAACGACCAGCCTGGTACTACAGTAAAACCTGTAACTAAAGACCACCGTGACTAACGACCAGCCTGGTACTACAGTAAAACCTGTAACTAAAGACCACCGTGACTAACGACCAGCCTGGTACTACAGTAAAACCTGTAACTAAAGACCACCGTGACTAGCGACCAGCCTGGTACTACAGTAAAACCTGTAACTAAAGACCACCGTGACTAACGACCAGCCTGGTACTACAGTAAAACCTGTAACTAAAGACCACCGTGACTAACGACCAGCCTGGTACTACAGTAAAACCTGTAACTAAAGACCACCGTGACTAACGACCAGCCTGGTACTACAGTAAAACCTGTAACTAAAGACCACCGTGACTAGCGACCAGCCTGGCACTACAGTAAAACCTGTAACTAAAGACCACCGTGACTAACGACCAGCCTGGTACTACAGTAAAACCTGTAACTAAAGACCACCGTGACTAACGACCAGCCTGGCACTACAGTAAAACCTGTAACTAAAGACCACCGTGACTAGCGACCAGCCTGGTACTACAGTAAAACCTGTAACTAAAGACCACCGTGACTAACGACCAGCCTGGTACTGCAGTAAAACCTGTAACTAAAGACCACCGTGACTAACGACCAGCCTGGTACTACAGTAAAACCTGTAACTAAAGACCACCGTGACTAACGACCAGCCTGGTACTACAGTAAAACCTGTAACTAAAGACCACCGTGACTAGCGACCAGCCTGGCACTACAGTAAAACCTGTAACTAAAGACCACCGTGACTAACGACCAGCCTGGTACTACAGTAAAACCTGTAACTAAAGACCACCGTGACTAGCGACCAGCCTGGTACTACAGTAAAACCTGTAACTAAAGACCACCGTGACTAGCGACCAGCCTGGCACTACAGTAAAACCTGTAACTAAAGACCACCGTGACTAACGACCAGCCTGGTACTACAGTAAAACCTGTAACTAAAGACCCTAAAGACCACCGTGACTAGCGACCAGCCTGGTACTACAGTAAAACCTGTAACTAAAGACCACCGTGACTAACGACCA